TATATATATATATATATATATATATTATATCACTTATTTATCCCTGTAAATATGACCGAAAAAGTAAGATTAATAATTCTAACACGAATTTTCTCGATCTTTCGTACATTTCTTTTCACTGTTGGTGGTAGTTCAAAAATCAATTCTCCAAAATTCATTTTTATTTCTAGTCTGACGTGACACTTGAGCGCGTTTCGTAAAACTTATTACATTTTCAAAGACTTTAGTTTACACATACACAACTGAATAGAACTTACACATCTCCGATTTGTTTATATCTACATTTGAGTGAGGTGGATGGGGTGAGGTGGCATTAATAGGGTATTAATTTCATCAACACAAGACAGAACACGAAACAATGGGTATTGAATGGACGTGATTGTAGAAAGCCTATTGGTCCATATTTCTTGATGCTTTTATATTGGAGCGGAGTCTTGAGGTGGGTAGAATATAGTTGTGCATTAATTGGCTGTTGATTGCTGGTGTTGACTTTTTAATGTGTAGTGCCTCGCAAACGTCAAGACGCCTGCTATCGCTGTATCTATTGATGATTTCTGTGTTGTTTACTAGGATTTCTCTGGCGATGGTTTGGTTGTGGGAAGAGATTATATGTTCCTTAATGGAGCCCTGTTGCTTATGCATCATTAAACGCCTAGAAAGAGATTTGGTTGTCTTGCCTATATACTGTTTTTTTTGGAGCTTACAGTCTCCAAGAGGGCATTTAAAGGCATAGACGACGTTGGTCTCTTTTAAAGCGTTCTGCTTTGTGTCTGGAGAGTTTCTCACGAGTAGGCTAGCCGTTTTTCTGGTTTTATAGTAAATCGTCAGTTGTATCCTCATATTTTTGTCTGTTGGGATAACTACTCCAAGTTTGTACTAAAGAGGCACCCTTCTTGAGCCCGGATGGGCACATGTATAAGCTAGTAGATGGGGTCGCCATGGGTTCTCCCCTAGGTGTCCTGTTTGCAAACTTCTACATGGGTACCATCGAGCAAAACGTCTTAGTCGACATGAACTTGAAACCGGCCATATACTGCAGGTATGTTGACGACATTTTTACACAGGTACCTGATGTCAGACATCTGCAGGAGCTGAAGGAGGCGTTTGAGCAGAGTTCCGTGCTGCGTTTCACTTACGAGATGGAAAAGGATGATGTTACGGACCCGAGCCCAGCGTCCGAGCCCGGAGCAGTAACGACCACGCCATCTGTGGGTCAGCTCCCGAAACCCCCCTCCAAATGGCCGCCGCCATCAAGTGAGGACAGGAAATACCAGCCACAAGGGCTAGTTTCCCTTCCTGATCAGCTCATAACACAGCCGCTGCTGGCCTCTGGTGAGGTGGCGCTTAGACAGCAACGCCATCTATGGAGTGGATAGGTGGGCGTTTGGGTCTGAGCCGGTAAGTGACGTGCCCTAGAGTGTCCCTAGTACTGATGACGTGTCTGATTACAGAGTCGACCTGGGACTGCTGTAATGGAAGTTGGATCAGTCTACCCCAGGCAGCCGTCTTGTCTCCAGGTATTTGCTGCAGCAGCTGTGAGTCGCCCCCCCGGATGAACACTGTGGTGTTAGCCTGCCTGTGAAGTGGCAGTTGAGGGGTTGTCATACCCGGGACTGACTGGTGGAGACGCTTAACCACTGGGGTGTTGTGGAAAGGAGAGTGACCTGTGGGATCACACGAGGCTCCTGACTAGGGCTCGCGACCTTAGTATTGATCGTGGAGTGGCCTAACCAGCGCTGCTGATTGGAACCTGCCAGCTGCCGGCTGGATTTGTGGTTGACGGCCTCCACGACGGTGGCCCCAGTGGAACTGTGATTTGGCTGGCCTGTGGCCAGGGTAGACTCAAAATGATCGAAGGATTCATCGTAAGGCCACAAGAGGATTAAGAGCTTAGCCTTGTTGAGCACCGTGAACGTCCAGAGTCTTCAGAGGAAGACTACGTTTTATATAATAGTGTTTAACCCCCCCCCTGTGTAACCTTTTATATATTATTTATGGTGACGGTATTAATTATACTATTAATTTTTTGCCTTTATTTCCCTTCCCCTTTAATTTACTTGCGTTACGGATCACATCCTTTGAAAGCCACTACTAGCTTGGGGCCGGATACCCTACCTCTAACAACATCTGAGAAAGAACCCGGTTGCGACCCGAGAGGGCCGTAACAGATGGGAAGCTGCCCTTTCTAGATGTAACAGTCATGGAAAAGAGCGGAGGTTTCCACACTGCAGTCTACACTAAGGAAACGAACATAGGAATGTGCCTAAATGCCAACAGCGACTGCCAAGACAGGTACAAGAGGAGTGTTGTTAACGCATATGTCGACCGTGCTCTCAGCCACAGCTCAGAATGGAAGCTGGTCGACGAAGAACTCTGTAGGGTAAGGCAGGTCCTAGTCAACAACGGCTTCTCCAATGGTTTCTTCGAAGACATCATAAGAAGGAAAGTGAAATGCCATGCAACCTCTGAAGAGACAACTAACACAACACCTATACCCCCTATTAGACTATTTTACAGGAACTTCTTTTCCACAGCTCATAAAACGGAGATGGAAAAGGATGGTGTTACGGACCCGAGCCCAGCGTCCGAGCCCGGAGCAGTGACGACCACGCCATCTGTGGGTCAGCTCCCAAAACCCCCTCCAAATGGCCGCCGCCATCAAGTGAGGACAGGAAATACCAGCCACAAGGGCTAGTTTCCCGTCTTGATCAGCTCATAACACAGCCGCTGCTGGCCTCTGGTGAGGTGGCGCTTAGACAGCAACGCCATCTATGGAGTGGATAGGTGGGCGTTTGGGTCTGAGCCGGTAAGTGACGTGCCCTAGAGTGTCCCTAGCACTGATGACGTGTCTGATTACAGAGTCGACCTGGGACTGCTGTAATGGAAGTTGGATCAGTCTACCCAAGGCAGCCGTCTTGTCTCCAGGTATTTGCTGCAGCAGCTGTGAGTCGATAGATACAACACAGAAATCATCGATAGATACAGCGATAGCAGGCGGCTTGACGTTTGCGAGGCACTACACATTAAAAAGTCAACACCAGCAATCAACAGCCAAATAATGCACAACTATATTCTACCCACCTCAAGACTCCGCTCCAATATAAAAGCATCAAGAAATATGGACCAATAGGCTTTCTACAATCACTTCCATTCAATACCCATTGTTTCGTGTTCTGTCTTGTGTTGATGAAATTAATACCCTATTAATGCCACCTCACCCCATCCACCTCACTCAAATGTAGATATAAACAAATCGGAGATATGTAAGTTCTATTCAGTTGTGTATGTGTAAAGTCTTTGAAAATGTAATAAGTTTTACGAAACGCGCTCAAGTGTCGCGCCAGACTAGAAATAAAAATTAATTTTGGAGAATTGATTTTTGAATTACCTCCAACAGTGAAAAGAAATGTACGAAAGATTGAGAAAATTCGTGTTAAATTCGTGTTAGAATTATTTATCTTACTTTTTCGGTCATATTTAATAATATATGTCTACAGGAAAGACTGCTACCAAAATATACTTATATATATATATATATATATATATATATATATATATATATATATATATATATATATATATATATATATATATATATATATATATATATATATATATATATATATATATATACATACACGTACGTATTCAATCACCTACACAAATTCACATAAAAATAATATTTTGTATCACAAGTGATTCAACAAGAGGCTCATAACAGTCACTATACGAGGCACTTTATATTTATTGGGAGTCACACAGTTACAGTCATGTGCTCCACACCCACCCAACTGGGCGGTAGCATTACAGTCACGTGCTATACACCCACCCAAGTGGGCGGCAGCTTTACAGTCATGTGCTCCACACCCACCCAACTGAGCGGCAGCTTTACAGTCATGTGCTCCACACCCACCCAACTGGGCGGCAGCTTTATAGTCATGTGCTCCACACCAACCCAACTGGGCGGCAGCTTTATAGTCATGTGCTCCACACCCACCCAACTGGGCGGCAGCTTTATAGTCATGTGCTCCACACCCACCCAACTGGGCGGCAGCTTTATAGTCATGTGCTCCACACCCACCCAACTGGGCGGCAGCTTTACAGTCATGTGCTCCACACCAACCCAACTGGGCTGCAGCTTTATAGTCATGTGCTCCACACCCACCCAACTGGGCGGCAGCTTTATAGTCATGTGCTCCACACCCACCCAACTGGGCGGCAGCTTTACAGTCATGTGCTCCACACCAACCCAACTGGGCGGCAGCTTTATAGTCATGTGCTCCACATCCACCCAACTGGACGGCAGCTTTACAGTCATGTGCTCCACACCCACCCAACTGGACGGCAGCTTTACAGTCATGTGCAGGCTGTACCTACAGTAAGCAATCTTTGGAGACTTCACTAGGATTTCTGGCAGCACCTCATTATGAATGAAGTACTTAAACATTTCTTGGACACCATTGATGGTGTTGTATCTGAATTCCGCGATTTTTTTCACATTCCATTATTTAATGACGCAAAGTTAGCAAATAATTCTGCTGACAGAGTTTACATTTAGTCAAATCTACAGATGTTACAAACTCCAGGAGGTACTTCCTCATTACAGAGGAGGTACAGAGGCGTTCAATACCAATTGTTGTTATATAAATATATATATATATATATATTTTTTTAACTTATAAAGATAATTTTTAACTTTAAATATAACTGTGTATAGTTAGGCATAGACTAAGTTTGGTTAGTTTAATTGTTTAGATTCAGTGCCCAATTAATAGTATATTTCGTGAACGAAGCATTTACACACGTGGGATTCGAACAGATAACGTAATGAATCCCGTGATGAATCACTTGATGAGTCCCATGATGAATCACGTGATGAGTCCCGTCATGAATCACGTGACGAGTCCAGTGATAAGTCTTGTGATGAGTCCCGTGATAATTCACGTGATGAGTCCTGTGATAAATGATGTGATGATTCCTGTGATGAATCCCGTGATGAGTCTCATGATGAATCACGTGATGAGTCTTGTGTTGAATCCCGTGATGATTCATGTGATGAGTCACGTGATGAGTCTCGTGATGAATCACATTATGAGTCTTATGATGAATCATGTGATGAGTCTAGTGATGAATCACATGATGAGTCCCGTGATGAATCACGTGATGAGTCCCGTGATAAATCACGTGATGATTCTCGTGATGAATCATGTGATGAGTCCTGGGGTGAATCCCGTGATGAGTCTTATGATGAATCACGTGATGAGTCTTGTGATGAATCACGTGATGAATCATGTGATGAGTCCTGTGATTACTCACGTGAGGAGTCCCGTGATGAGTCTTGTGATGAATCCCATGATGAGTCACGTGATAAATCATGTGAAGATCCTTGTGATGAATCCCGTGATGAATCATGTGATGTGTCCCGTGATGAATCACGTGATGAATCTTGGGATGAATCCCATGATGAGTCTCATGATGAATCACGTGATGAGCCTTGTGATGAATCCTGTGATAAATCCCGTGATGAATCACGTGATGAGCCTTGTGATGAATCCTGTGATAAATCCCGTGATGAATCACGTGATGAGTCCAGTGATAAATCACGTGATGATTCCCGTGATTAATCACGTGATGATTCCAGTGATGAATCATGTGATGAGTCTTGTGATGAACCATGTGATGAGTCGGTGCTGGAGAAGAGTTGGAGGTTGGTGGGTGGTGGTGCGGGAAGGTGTTCATCTCCAGACTGGTGTACCAGCTGGGTGAAGACACACGTGGGCCATTGTTTACCGGCACGGACCCCCAGGAGCCGTCCACCCACAAACAATGGCCAATTGCTCGTTAGTTCAGCCGCGAAACATCTTGTTTATGAATGACAATGTTTTACATGCGTCCCGCAACTGATGTAACTCACAAGTTTTCTCCAACATTATATTATTTTGTCTATGGTCACATTGCACCTTTATAAATAGTTGACTCGCTGGAACTACAAATAGTTACCGACAAAACTTAAACATCTAAACTACAGATATATATCGTATGACGATATATATACATATAATGTATACATATATATATCAAGTAACAATTTATACTTGAGGAAAAATTTAACTAGGAAACAAAGTGGATTAATACTGACTAAGAACAAGTGGCTCAGTGGTAGCGCCCTGGACAGGAAGGTTCGACTCGTTACAGACTGCCCACAACAGTTACTTAACTCCTAAATACCTATTTAGTACTACATGAACAGGTGCCCAACCATTTCTGATCCGTCTGGGGATCGAACCACAGATTCCCTGATACTGAGTCGAGGACGAAAACCACTACGCTAAAGGAACGGCCACACTAGGCCTGCTGACAACAGTTCTTAGTTAAATGGATATTGGAGTTCAGTTCCTGAACTATGTTCCACTATCATGGGGAAACAATATAGGAGCTCCGCCTATTTGTCAAAATTACACAAACTTTCTAAATGTTTCTTCAAAATCAAATAAGGTGAATAATGTAAACTAGTAACGTTAAGGGTGTTTGAAGGAGAGTTTACTCACCCGTGAGTGAGAGCTGCGGTGAGAGCGAGGACACAGAGGAGGCGGGGACAGTGGTAGGACGCCATGGCAACAGGCAACGAGACGTCCAGGCTGGCTGGCAGCCGGTGAGCAAGTGACTGTGGGAGCTGCCTCTTCTCCCTCACCTTGTCCGGAGGAAACGAGTTCCCCCTCCCCTCCCTTCCCCTGGTTTCCCCATCAAACCCCCCCCCCCCCTTCGTCTCTCCCACAGGCACCCCGCCCTGTCCCTTCCTCAGGTACCCCTCCCCGTCCCTCCCTCAGGCACCCCCTCCCCTCCTGACAACATAACCCTATCCAATTAAAGAATCTAAAATATTCCTCAGTACCACTAAACACCTTAAAGAAAACTAACATGCAACAGCTACAAGCAGTGCGGTATAAGGCACTAAGGAGAGCAGCAAAACACCGTCCACCATATGATCAGACAGTCCAGGAGTTCCATGAACTTCTGAACATACAGCCACTAAACATCAGACTGCAGCACCAAGCCATCCGGGTGTGGAACACCATCCTAATGTTAGAGGACCCATTGTTAGAAAGACTACTCCAAGATGAGACGCCCCACTCCCACAGCTGGTGTCCCAAGATTAGACGCCTCACTCCCACAGCTGATGGCCCAAGATGAGACACTCCACTCCCACAGCTGGTGGCCCAAGATGAGACACCGCGCTCCCACAGCTGGTGGCTCAAGATGAACCGCCCAACTCCCACAGCTGATGGCCCAAGATGAGACACCCGACTCCAACAGCTGGTGGCCCAAGAGGAGACGCCCCACTCCCACAGCTGGTGAACCAAGATGAGACGCCCCGCTCCCACAGCTGTTGTCCCAAGATGAGAGGCCACACTCCCACAGCTGATGGCTCAAGATGAGACGACCCACTCCCACAGCTTGTGGCCCAAGATGAGAAGCCCCACTCCCACAGCTGGTGGCCCAAGATGAGACGCCCTGCTCCCACAGCTGGTGGCCGAATATGAGATGCCCCGCTCCCACAGCTGGTGTTCCAAGAAGGCATGCCCAACTCCCACAGCTGGTGGCCGAATATGACATGCCCCGCTCCCACAGCTGGTGGCCGAATATGACATGCCCCACTTCCACAGCTGTTGGCCTAAAATGAGACGCTCCACTCCCACAGCTGGTGACCCAAGATGAGACGCTCCACTCCCACAGCTGGTGGCCCAAGATGAGACGCCCCGCTCCCACAGCTGGTGACCCAAGATGAGACGCTCCACTCCCACAGCTGGTGACCCAAGATGAGACGCTCCACTCCCACCGCTGGTGGCCCAAGATGAGACGCCCCGCTCCCTCAGCTGGTGGCCCAAGATGAGACGCCCTGCTCCCACAGCTGGTGGCCCAAGATGAGACGGCCCACTCCCAAAGCTGGTGGCCCAAGATGAGACGGCCCATTCCCAAAGCTGGTGGCCCAAGATGAGAAGCCCCACTCCCACAGCTGGTGGCCCAAGATGAGAAGCCCCACTCCTACAGCTGGTGGCCCAAGATGAGACGCCCCGCTCCCACAGCTGGTGGCCCAAGATGAGACGCCCCACTCCCAAAGATGGTGGCCCAAGATGAGACGCCCCACTCCCACAGCTGGTGGCCCAAGATGAGACGCCCCACTCCCACAGCTGGTGGCCCGTGATGAAATGCCCCACTCCTACAGCTGGTGGCCCAAGATGAGACGCCCCGCTCCCACAGCTGGTGGCCCAAGATGAGACGCCCCACTCCCAAAGCTGGTGGCCCAAGATGAGAAGCCCCACTCCCACAGCTGGTGGCCCAAGATGAGAAGCCCCACTCCCACAGCTGGTGGCCCAGGATGAGACGCTCTGCTCCCACAGCTGGTGGCCCAAGATGAAACGGCTAACTCCCACAACTGGTGGGCCAAAATGAGACTCCCCGCTCCCACAGCCGGGGGCCCAAGATGAGACGCCTCACTCCCACAGCTTGTGGCCCAAAATGACACGCCCCGCTCCCACAGCTGGTAGCCCAAGATGAGACGCCCCACTCCCACAGCTGGTGGCCCCAAATGAGCCGCCCTAGTCCCACAGCTCGTAGCCCAAGACGAGACACCCCGCTCCCACAGCTGGTAGCCCAAGATGGGACGCCCTGCTCCCACAGCTGGTGGCCCAATATGAGACGCCCCACTCCCACAGCTGGTGGCCCAAGATGAGATGCCCCACTCCCACAGCTGGTGGTTTAAGATGAGACGCCCCCACTCCCACAGCTGGTGGCCCAAGATGAGACGTCCCGCTCCCACAGCTGGTGACCCAAAATGAGACGCCCTGCTCCCACAGTTGGTGGCCCAAGATGAAACGCACCACTCTAACAGCTGATGGCCCAAGATGAGACGCCCCACTCCCACAGCTGGTGGCCCAAGATGAGACGCCCCACTCACACAACTGGTGGGCCAAAATGAGACTCCCCGCTCCCACAGCTGGTGGCCCAAGATGAGACGCCTCACTCCCACAGCTTGTGGCCCAAAATGACACGCCCCGCTCCCACAGCTGGTAGCCCAAGATGAAACGCCCCACTCCCACAGCTGGTGGCCCCAAATGAGCCGCCCTAGTCCCACAGCTGGTAGCCCAAGATGAGACGCCCCGATCCCACAGCTGGTGGCCTAAGATGAGACGCCCCGCTTCCACAGCTGGTAGCCCAAGACGGGACGCCCTGCTCCCACAGCTGGTGGCCCAAGATGAGACGCCCCACTCCCACAGCTGGTGGCCCAAGATGAGATGCCCCACTCCCACAGCTGGTGGCCCAAGATGAGACACCCAGCTCCCACAGCTGGTGGCCCAAGATGAGACGCCCTACTCCCACAGCTGGTGGCCCAAGAGCCCCAATATTCTAGATGAAGAGTGTTGTTTTGGTGGACTCTTCAGAGGTGGCATAGCGTTTCACCTATATTTTTATGATATCTTCAACAAAACTGATATGATATCTTTTATGCAGGTACTTGATGCCAGACGTCTGCAGCAGCTGATGGAGGCATTTGAGCGGAATTCTGTGTTGCGTTTCACTTACGAGATGGAGAAGGATGGGAAGCTGCCCTCTCTAGATGTTACAGTCATGGAAAGAAGCGGAAGTTTCCACACTGCAGTCTACACTAAGGAAACAAACATACGAATGTGCCTCAATGCCAACAGTGATTGCCCAGACAGGTACAAGAGGAGTGTTGTTAACGCTTATGTCGACCTTGCTCTCAGCCACAGCTCAGGATGGAAGCAAGTCGATGAAGAACTCTGTAGGGTAAGGCAGGTCCTAGTCCACAATGCATTCTCCAATGGTTTCGTTGAAGACATCATAAGAAGGAAGGTGAAACGCAATGCAATCTTTGAAGAGACAACTAACACAACACCTGTACCCTCTATTAGACTATTTTACAGGAACTTCTTTTCCACAGCTCATAAAACAGAGGAAAGGGTCCTGAAAGATGTTGTTAATAGGAACGTTATCCCAACAGACAAAAATCAGAAGATACAATTGACGATTTACTAAAAAAACAAAAAAACGGCCAACCTACTCATGAGAAACTCTCCAGACACAAAGCAGAACGCTTTAAAGGAGACCAACGTCGTCTATGCCTTCAAATGCCCACTTGGGGACTGTAAGCCTCAAAGAACTCAATATATAAGCAAGACAACAACATCTCTTACCAGGCGATTAACGATGCATAAGCAACAGGGCTCCATTAAGGAACATATAATCTCTTCCCACAACCAGACCATCACCAGAGATGTCTTAACAAAAAACACAGAAATCATCGATAGATACAGCGATTGGAGGCGGCTTGACATCTGCGAGGCACTACACATCAAGAAGTCAACACCAGCAATCAACAGCGAATTAATGCACAGCTATAGTCTACCAACTTCAAGACTCCGCACCAATATAGAAGCATCAAGAAATATGGGCCAATAGGCCCTTTGCATTTACTTCTATTCTTCCCCTTTAACTTTACCCAATATTACGCAATATTTCGTGTTCTAGTGTTGAAAGTTTGTTTTCACCTCGTCCAAAACTGTTGTAACATATCACCTCACCCAAATGCAGGTATATAAAATGA